CGATTTTAAGCAGCGATGCAAGCGCGCGACTGCACGGATACATACGCGCAATTGCATCGCTACACTTGAGATTTATAGGCGATTGCATAGATGCGTTCGCGCGTTTGTATCGATGCAGTCGCGCGTTTTCATCGATCCAATCGCTTGTCCATCGCAAGTGTGACAACATTTGACCACCAATGTTTCGTTATGATTTGACAGTCATAAAAACATTTGATTCTCATATCATCGTAATCGATTTATATAAGAGAAAGCTGTTCCGTAATACTACAAACCATCTCTTTATGAACCATGTTAATTTCTAGTGCATTGCTCAAAAGGATATAGACGTTTTGAAATTATGATACAGGCAAAGTTAAGTTGAACGATATTATATTAGTATGCTTAGATTAACGCCTTGTTCACGTGGATCTTATCTGATCTTATCGGAAATGTACTTACCAGAGATCCCAAAGCACCTCTTATTGAGTCCTCAGAAATATCTTTGGTATAAAGCGGGCAAGTGATGTATGCGCCTCCCATGACGATGCCCAAGAGAGCTCTTGCCAATACGAAGGCCCAGATTTCATATGAGGAAAGTTTGATGGCCCAGCAACACTGTTCACAGAACATTGTTCGATAGACGGATTTGTATTAGGTACCGTTGATTTTTTTTTGTATTTATAGAAATAGTAGAAGGCAATCTTAATCGAAACTAAGAGTAAGTTGCATGGAACCATTGAGTTTCAAGTCCAATATATGGAATAGATAAAACGAGCAGGGCAAACTCCCGCCTATTTGGCGTGTACTCTTTACTCGGTTTGCATGGTTGTCACATTATTTTTTAGTTGTATGTACAGGTAGTAAATATAAAAAATCAAGGTGTTTGTCACAGTATTCTAGTGCTATATTGAAATAACTTTTATTCAATTGCGGTATTTATATATTGATACGAAGGTCATGCCAAAAGAACTTACTCTTTAATCACTTGTTTGATACTTTCAAGTTATACACTGTCGTAAAGGCAAGTTATTTATACTAATAAATTTGAAAATGGAACACGTCTTAAATCGCATTCTTTTTTATTCAATTTTTTTATTTTTCGGAGCTCTCGACGTGATTTTCGTGTTATGATTTATTAGGACTACAAAAACGGTTTAAATCCGCAAGAATGTTTTGAACTTTTAGCCACAACTTTTGGTGATACTGCTTGTTTACGAGCTACAGTTTTCAAGTGGTTTGCTGAATTTAAAAGAGGACGAGGAAGCTTTGAAGATGAGGCAAAGTCAGGTCGGGCGCGAACCGCGGTTACTCAAGAAAACTTTCAAGCTGTTGAAAAAGTAATTGGTGAAAACCGACTAACTACACATGTAGAGCTTGAGCGAGAACTGGGCATTGGATCTACTGATCCAATGCCCAGTTCTCGCTCAAGTTCTATATCTGTATAGTTTGCAATGCTGCTGCATTATTATTATAACCATTATTCACGGACAACTGTCTCTCCATAAGCGTTGTTCGAGGTGAGTTCCGCACAAACTTAACGATGATCAGAGAGAACGTCGCGTGGATTGGTGTATCCCGGAATCCGGCACCTGCTCTAGCATCGCGACAACGCCGCTCCGCACACTTCTGCTAGAACACAGAATTTTCATTCAAAAAATGTATCTATGCTGCCTCACCCACCATATTCTTCTGACCTAGCACCTTGTGATTTTTACCTCATTCCAAAAATTAAAGAATAATTAAAAGGCAAGCGATTTGAAAGCAAAGAAGATGCCTTGGCTGCTTATAACTTGGAGACTTCTGAAATGTCTAAAGAAGAGTGGTCATAGATATTTTCCAAGTGGTTTAGGCGAATGGAAAACTGTATACGTGTTCATGGTGAATACTTTGAAAAAATCGATACCTGTAATAAAGAATAAATTTTGTAAGTTTTTAAAATCTAATTTCTTTTGGCATGACCCTCGTATTTTTAAACCAGGCTTTCGGATTGGTATCTCGATTATAGGAATATAATTTTGAGACAATCTTGTTCAAACATCCACAAATACGAACTACGAAAGGTTCAATTCTATAACGAATGGCGCATGCAACAACCCGCGCTATGCAACGCGAGTGCACTGCGAGATTATGCGAACGTATGCATCCGTACACGACAAGCGACGGGAGCGCACACATACAAGATGCACTGTTACGGTTTTATGGAGTTCCCACATTTATCTTATTATACTATGGTATATTCGTCGTGTTTATGGAAGTCTGAGAAAGCGTGCAGGAGATACTGTTACATAAGAACTATATTATAAGAACTGAATCGTGTTAAGTATGAAGCTGACACTAATTTACGAATTTGGTGTAAAAATAGAACTGATTGGATAAGACCTGGAGTACAGATGATGAGATAGGTAAAAACCAAACAAAACCTTAAATCACTTACCACAGCTGTCACAGAGAGCAATAACAAAGAATTCTTTCTTCCGATCTTATCACTAAGATAGGCCACAAGAAAATCTGCTGGAAAGCATGTCAAGTAGGCTACAGAAGCCATCCATGAAATCTGTGAACAATGTGAAATGGAAATAATAATGAACTAGAAAAGCGAAATTACAATCTTCCTTAAAGTTGTTCAATTAGTATAATAATTTCACCAATTATAGTTGTACCAAAGTAGACTATCTTTTTATGAATTTTGCGGTACCGAAACATGCAAGTCGATCTATTTTATCTACCTCAGCATCCGAAAGAGGTCTTCCAACAGGGGATTTGTCAGATTGCAGCAGCAACGTCATCGGGGACATCCAGCCAATGGTAGTACCGTACACAAACACCAAAAAGTTTACTGCAAATCAATGAGAAATAACATACTTCTAATTGGCTGAACACTGATTTTCTCTAAGATCATGCGTTCAGTGAAATTGGATAGCAAGGCAAAAAACCGGAGCAGTCAGTCCGATGGGGTTTTTCCATGGGAACTTCTTCTTAACAAGTGAATGACAAAAAACAATAACTAACTGTTTAAAATCCACATTTTTGGCCCAGTAAGCAGCTACTTCTATCTGTTGCCTTCAGTAGGTTCATTGCAGCAAGTGTGTAGTATGCAGGTGATCGTACACCATAGGTACGAAAACAGATAAGGTACTTTGTGCTGCCCCAGTGTGGTTAACAAGCCTGATGATATGTATGTATGTATCTACTAATACTTACTTGAAACAGCACAAATTATTTGATTCACTTTACTGCCTTCTCCAAAAAAGAAATAATACTTCTTCATTTTTATCTACAAAATAATCTTCACTACAAAACTTTTTTTTATTTTATACCAGACACTACAATGTTTTTTTGTTTTATAAAAAACAACACTAGTTTATTTTCTGGTACACATTATAGGTTTCTTTATAAAGAAAATCACAATAATTTCGTCTTTAAACAGGATTGTTCCATGATTTGCTAGTACCGTAGCCTTTCATACATTATCCATGTATTTCAAGGAATTAATAACTAGTAGGTATAATTACATAATCTCACATAATATTTGCAAAAGCGAGTGATGTACACGCTATTCTTTCGTGCACTAATGATTTGATTGGGCCGAGTCTTTTCAATTGATAGAGACATCATTGTACATTGACAACACTTTTATTATTAATGAATCTTAAATAACAGAAGCGTTTGTACTGTAGCTCTTTAAGTTGGACTGTGACATGAAACACTTATAATAAGTTTGTTAAAATTATTAGTACAAAGATTGAACATTAAGAAAATTCTGTCGATCCGGCTGGATCTGAGCATAACAACTGAGGTAAGGAACGAACCACCAGACCCTACGACTTTTCACCGTAGCTCCATCTGAGAGAAATCTACGAAAGTGTTGAAAGTGTTGGAACCTGGCCGGATCGAAGAAATTTTTCTTACTGTTCGACCTTTGTAATACTGAAATTATAACAAATTAGTGGGGTAATTTCACAAAAAAAAAAAAAATTAATACCATGGTAGTAAATAATCGTGATATTCGATAAGCCTAATGTTATTACTTATTTTATAAGCTTATTTGCTTGGCTTGATGTGAGTTAAATATAGCTATATATTATAAGAGACTTGAAACGATAAAGCGACATGTGACAATACGTCTAAAATTATTTTATCACATGAAATTCATAAAAACAATAACAACTACACGAAACAAATTATGTATATGTGAAATCTTAGAATAATAACGCATAGAATGATAGTTTCATATCAAACGAACTGTCACAAGCGAGGCAAAAATCAAATTCATGTAGGCTAGTTTTAGTAGTAGGTTAATTTTCGGTTTTAGTGAATATTTATATAAAAATACAAGTTGAAACGCGTTACTTCCTTGTGGAATGTGATGTTAGTATCTATTTTATGTTTGTCTGACGTATTTTTACACTTATTTACCGCACATTTCGTCATTTTTAGCTAAAGTTCTGGAGCTGTTCGCGGTGCAAGTTGACTTTGAGCACTGAAGGCCCGCCCACTCATGCAGGCCCTTTGGGCGCGCTTCAATTTGCCTCACTTAGCCTGTGGGGACTATGTTTCTATGCGTTATTATTCTAAGTGTGAAATTTCATTCGTAAAATGGTTAAACCTCCCTACTTGAAAATGGTCAATTTGCAGATATAGCTTTATTACATGAGTGCTAAATATTATTCTTACTGATTAAGATTGTAAAATTCTGTTTAAAATAAAGACGCGGGGTACCTTTATGATTTATTTACAAAAATGAACTATTTAAACAGACACTTCTTTCAGTGCTTTTTCTTCTCTTTTCTCCTTTTTCGTTCTTAAATCCTGGTGTACTTCTTCCAAACTTCTTAGTTTCGTCTCTGGGATTACGAGGATAGTATAAAGAGCAGCAAACATACATACGGCTCCAAAGAAATAGAATGAAACGTGAAGACCAATTGACGTAGCGAGATTTTTAAAGAAGAACATTTGAATGAAGGCACACACGGCTGCCGCAGCCATTGCTGTACCCATCACTGTGCCGCGGTACTGGAATTACAATAGATAAATTAGAAAAAGAGATAGATAAGCTGGAGTATTGCAGACAACGGAATTCCCTGTACCTATTATGAGTACCAGAGCGACGGAATTTGCTCTGGGGCACTTCCCAGAACTTGACCAGAACCTTGAAAGCTCATTTTCCGATTTGGTGCTACTGGATATCGAAACCGGGACCTCTTGATCCAGCACCAACAATGTAAACCGTTAGGCTACCGAGCTTATTCATAAATCATTTATGGTTTTATAATTTGGGTCAATAAAGAACTTACAAAAACTAATAAAAGAATCTTAAAGACGACCAAACCTTACTTGGTACACTTTACCTCTAAAGTAGTAATAATTAATTACCTTATACGAAAATATTTCACTGGTAATGATAACAGAGACAGGCTGCAACCCCGAGGAGTCACAGAAGATGCAAATGCACAACGTAGCCAGAGGCAACCAGCTTGCAGCGTCCACTCCGTACGATTTAGCCACGAACCAAGACGCTAGGGCACACATGCTGATTCCGGAGATCAGGGCCGTTACGGCGAGAAGTGCCTACAAGGATGATGTATACATTTATTATGTATATATAGATTTTGGAATACCTGCCAAGTTTACAACCAAAATAGAAATACTAAACCTTAAAATTAATAATCTCAGTACAGAGTTTGAATCCAAGGAGCTACATCGAATCTGTGATCAAAACAGCCTCACGGAAACTCGGAGTCCTGAACAAGGTGCGACGTTTTTTCACGCCGGACCAGTTATGCCTGCTGTACAAAACACAGGTCCGGTCTTGCGTTGAGTATTGTTCGCACTTGTGGGACGGCTCCGCCAAGTACCTACTCGATGCCTTGGACAAATTACAGCGTCGTGCTACTAGAATTATAGGCGACGAAGAGGTCTCATCACGCCTTGAACCTCTGCAACTGCGTAGAGATGTTGCATCGCTTAGCGCCTTTTACCGCATGTACCATGGTGAGTGCTCTGAGGAGCTGTTCAACCTCATCCCCCCTTCCCCGTTCCTGCTCAGAAGCACGCGTGCTGGCCTTCGTAGTCACCGTTTCACTACCTGCCGCATTCCATCGCGTACTAAAAGGTTCGGTGGCTCCTTTCTCTGCCGCACGGTTGACAAATGGAACTCCCTTCCGGCACATGTCTTCCCTCCCTCTTATGATATGGGGTCCTTCAAACGAGGCGTGAAGAGGCATATTGTAGGCAGGCAGGGTGGAGGCGGCTAGTGCAGTGAGGATTCCATCGCTGCACTAGGTTCCTTCGCGTTTGGATACCACTTTCCACTTAACATCAGGTGGAGTGGAGTCATTTGCCTGTCAGGTATAAAAAAAAAAAAAAAAAAAAAAGAGTACTAAAAAAACCGACCTCAAAAGTAAGTGGAATTACGTCTATTTGCTAAGTTTTATTGAAATATCCCCTAGTTCACCACTATACAGGACTTGACACTGGAGATAATAAAAATCGGTTCTCAGTACTCAAAGTATATTGAGAGAAAAACGCCTTGAATTGGAGAAATAGCAAAAACAACCATTAAAGTAATTGCTCCTAAATTAAAGTTAGGCGCTATTTATAAAAATGTATCTTCATGCGTAAACAGCCACCCTCCGAGGAGGATGCTTTTCTTCAAAATGAAATGGGATCACTATGGAAGTACCCCCTTTCCAACAAAAAAAGAATCATGAAAATCGGTTCACAAATACCGGAGTTATCGCGTAACATACATACAAAAAAAAGAACATACAGACGAATTGAGAACCTCCTCCTTTTTTGAAGTCGGTTAAAAATCAAATCAAAATGATTTATCGTTCTTTCCACCTTAACAATACATTTCACAGGGCAATTAAAGTAAAGATCATCGTACAGTGACATTGCGAGGTGGAAGACTGGTGCCTAATCTAGGTTGGATCTGTACTATAGGTGTCCACCATCGGATTTCAATGATACAATGTTACGATGTTTTTGAAACTACTAAGACGTTAAGGGTTGTAACGTTGTAACGTAACATTGGCGTGATGCTATAGAAAATATACTATTTATTTATTATTTTGAGAAAAGGTTGAAACTAGTATGAGAAATTAGTTTCAATAGAAAAATTAGTAAGTGTGATAGGAAAGTGATTATATGTGAATATTATGAGTGAAAAGAGTGCATGAATGCGTGCGTGCATGTGCAGTTTTATAAGGCGTATAAAACAATCCTTCCTTCAAACATATTTCGCCAATCTTTACATATTTTTAACCAAATTCTTTAGCGATATACTCAAAGTTTCAAGTTTCAGTTCAAAGTCATCTCTTACCTTCCTTCCTGCCTTCTCAACGACACTGGAACCCAACATTGATCCAGTCACCTGTATGAGACCAAGCATCATGGCCTGCTGGTTCGGGGTCAGTACAAAATTAGTTCCCTTAGACGCTGTAGCGAAGATGTCTCCAGCGAAATTAAGGACTGGTATAGCACCGCACACCTCACGGGCTAGTGCTACAATGATAGCGATTTTAAACGCTCTAAATAGTATTTTATCTTTTACTGAAACAATGAAAATGACAATTGTTGAAAGGATTTCACAGGTAGGGGTAGTGGCCGTGTCAGCCGTATCGCAAGTCTAATTTGTTTTTGCAAGCGCACCATTTTTGTTGCACTTGTTACACACATATACGCCGACGTGCAACCTACCTGTGATGCTTTGTATTAGATTGATACCTTAATATTACATTTGCATTACCGGCCATGAGACGTGACAATGGCCAGATTTAAAGTCTTCTGCACTTGTAATTACGATCCAATCCAGAGTACAGCAACGCTGCAGGTGTTCTACCATTTGTAACAGATTAATTGACTTTGATCTTTTTATTCCCGTAAAGGAGATTATTGCACGATAGAATGTAAAAGAATCGATCCAAAACAGTTACTTACAAATAGCTTTAAGAGCGAAATTACTGCTGTTTTCGTCGGTCTTCTGTTCTTTTTTGATAATCTCTATCTCTCTTTGAACAAGACTGTCAGTCTCCCTTCTGCATCGAAGCCACGCTAGAATTTTTACTGCTTTCTGTAATGACAAGGGGCTTAAAAATTTCTAAAATTCGTCTAATGTAGATGATGTAAAAGTGATATGGAAAGTGAAAACTACAAAAACAAATAAAAGTAGTGATGTACGTGAAGTCGTGCAGTAAGCTTTAGAAGTTGTTGATTATTTAAGGAATTTCTTATTTCAATCATAGAAAAGTAGAATAATACGTGTCTAATCAAAAATACTTGTTAATAATCTAAAGTTTATAAAACTTGAGATGATTATTTAGTTCTTATCAGCAGCCATGAAAGCTCAAGAAAAATCATGCAACAGATAAATAGTCTATAATCGCATCAAAAGGACGAAAACGGCACACTCTGTACCCATGGAAAATATGAGAAAAAATCCATACGCTTCGGAGATAATGTTGAGAAATTATGTAATTACTTGAAAAACAATGGACCAGTGCGATGAAGATTATGATTAAAATTAATTATCTGTACCCACATCTTCCTTTCCTTGTTTGATCAAAAACGAAGGCGACTCTGGGATAATTATGCACAATATTAAATGAAATATTGCAATAGTCAAACATATCCACAAAACTATTCTGAAGCTCAATAGATCCCCGATGATGTAAGAAAATAGGTTGCCTGTTGTGTGGAAAAGAATTACCTGCGGAAGATTTGTTTTACATCATTATAGGTAAGGCAGCATTTCACCACCAACCTTTCAGTACAATATGATGGTATGCCATTAAGGGTATCGATGTGTGACTTTGTCAAACAGATATAGAATCTTAACTAAGCAAGTTTTTGAAGGTGTTTTGCTATTACCATAATAAACTAGAACAAATTCGATCCTTTGTAACCTATGTTTCAATCTCCCATTGTCTTTCCAACATTCTTACATACTTGCATACGTATCATTTATAAACTGTTTTCCATTTGGGTGCATTGCTAGAAACAACAGTGACGTTTCTGGCTACTTTCATTATTATAAGAAATTACGATATGGCATAAAAAACTATTCAAAATTTCGAGCTCAGATAAATGCCCTGTCTTCGTGAATCTAAGACAAGAAATATATGAACCTACATACCAGAGACCCCAAAAGACCTCTAACCGAGTCCTCAGAAATATCCTTGGTATACAGCGGGCAGGTGACGTATGCGCCTCCCATGACGATGCCCATGAGAGCTCTGGCCAGCACGAAGGCCCAGACTTCATATGAACAAAGTTTAATGGCCCAGCAACACTGTTCACACAAAATCGTTGTCAGATAGATGGAATAGCTTGGCATTGTTTTTTTTCTAAATGATTCTAGAAATAGTGGTAGGCTTAGGTCTTGGTTTAACAAAAAACAAGTCAAAGCTATATGGACCAGAAAATATTAATTGCATATTTGTGTATTGACCAACCTCAAGGGGGAATAAGAACTGGAGATGATGAGTAAGGTAAAATCCCAAATAAAATATGTAAAGTACTCACAACTGACGTCAAAGATAGTAAGAACAAAGAATTCTTTCTTCCAATCTTGTCACTAAGATATGCTATCAGAAAATCTGCTGGAACACATGTCAAATAGGCAATAGACGCTATCCATGAAATCTGTGAATAACGCAGAAAATTGTTAAGATGAATATACAAATAAGTGCGCACGTAGCGATATTAATAACGTTTCACCATTAAACGTTACAAATACGAACAATTATTTAAAAATTGTTTAACTGCCTCGGTGGCCGAACGGTTACCATGCCGGACATTTTACTTCCAGCTAAAATTAAACTTTAAGGTCTCTAGGCATATACATAGGTACGTTTATTTACAAGCGGTACCTGAATTCTCATAATTTGATTATTTTTTTACCTCAGCGTCGGAAAGAGGTCTTCCAACGGGTGATTTGTCAGATTGCAGCAACAACGTCATCGGCGACATCCAGCCAATGGAAGCCCCGTACACAAACACCAAAATGTTTACTGAAAATCAAAGAACTTAACAACAGGATAGCAAGACTGGCTAAACATCAAAGGTGATGATGTTCATCAGCTCGAGAAGGCTCCAATGTACTTGAGGTTCTTAGATATTTTAAGTTCTTGAAATTAAACAATTTAATAAAATTTTTATTGAATTGATATTCAATTATTTTTTGTGAAATTACTCCACTAGTTTGTTATAATTATTAATGCAAAGATCGAACACTCAGAAAAAATTCCTTCGATCCGGTCGGATTCGAACCGACGTCTTCTTGCATACCGTGCCAGACACTATACCAATTAAGCCACTGAACGAACCATCGGACCTCACGAATTTTTCTATGTGCTTGCGTCGTGTCTTTGTACTTGGTCTTTTAACGACTTTTTTTAGTCGTAGCGCCATCTATGATCATCGTTGGATCGTTCCGTGGCTTAGTTGGTATAGCGTTTGCTACGGTATGCAAGAAGACGTCGGTTCGAATCCGACCGGATCGAAGGAATTTTTTCTGAGTGTTTTTTCTGAGTGTTCGATCTTTGCATTAATAATTATAATTAAACAATTTTACAAAAAAAATTGTGAAGTATTAAAAAGTTGTCAAGATCTCCACAAAATTGTGAAGTATTAAAAAATTGTCAAGATCTCCACATAATGTATCCATGCTGATCCAATGCGGATAGCAAACTTAATGAGAAGCTAAGAATGATGATCGGATTTTAAAATTACGTTGGTTTATTATGATTTTTTCTTCATGTTAACGTAAAGATCCACAAGTTATCAACCAATCAAACAATCTAATGCTCCCAAGAAATATAATTATGTTCCTTGATAGAATATGCTTCATTCTAGAAACACACAAGGGGATATAGTAGATTTTAGGTAGAACGTTTTTATGATATTAAAACCAGAAACATGCCATTCGATGGAAAGTGGAAACCACCGCCTAATTCATCTGTGATGCTTCTTCTTATCCTATCAATACTTATTTTATTATAGAGACTACATTGACTTTGAATAGTATGTTGCCATCTTGACTTTGACTTGAGCTTGAATCACATCGGGTTAATCTAGTATCTCTGAACCCTCATTCTAGGCTGGTCTAAGATGACGCATCCGATAAGGGTACGCAATGTACATTGCCGAGAAGTGATTTACAACACGCAACTAAGTTCAGTGTCATTTTGTAGTGCTAGGAAATGGAGATAGTTGTGCGGAAAAATATTGAAAACCAAGAAACTACCTAAGTCTGAACATTTTGATGTATTTCTATAAAACTTTTCGGTATTTTGAAATTGTTACTGAGAGTAAAGTAAGCATATTTTTTTAAAACTGACTTTGTGAGAAATCGCCCAAAAACTCGTCTAGAGGTCAAACTGCAAAAGGTTCTGTTCACTTGCAACAGATGGGGTTAGTAGCAGTTTTATTCTGAAATGGCTGAAGTGTGCAAGAGTACGCAACTCGACGTGTTGTAAGAATGCGCGCGTGATCTCATACCATTTTTTAGAATAGTGTACTTCTGAACAAAATTTCTGTCGCTATGTCTCGTTCTAAGTCAACTGAAACCTAGTATTTTGAAGTCTAGTATTTTTAAAGGTTTAACAGACCTGAGACATGTGCTCCGAATGTGTCTGAAATATCGGCTGCAAGTGCGCTTGAAGCACCATCACCACTGTAACTGAGGAATGTACGTGACACAAGTAGACTCTTCTCAGCTCTCCATGAGCAAAGGCTATGGGGCTATGCATAGGCATACCGAGACAAAAAATCACATTACCAGAAAGGTATGGAGGTGATTCATGCAACCGATAAACGCAGTCCTATCAAAAAAGGTGTTGCGTACTCTTGCCGACACACAAGCGTACTTTTACCCATTGTAAGAGTACGCAAATCCCATTATGCACTTTTTTATCACTTACAACCACACTATTATATATAACTGATTTTCACGTTAGTATGTAAGAGTCAGATAAGTAGACTATAAAATAAAACAATAGCTGATTTTCTAACATTTTTGTTTTCCTTCTACACGGTCTCAAACCTTAAGTGCGTCGTCTTAAACCAGGCCACCCTATGGCAAATCCTGGGCAACAGTCGAAGAGTACCACACGCTGATTGCCAAATCCTTTCACCATGATGGCAAGCATTATGTGTATGCCATCGACACTACAAAACGAAGACCCCCAGTTGCACGTTGCACATCTTGTGTCTTCAGCGATGCTAAAAAAAATGCTTCTTAACATCTCAAATGCGTTGCTGATAAATAATAATCTCAGTACAGAGTACTAAAAAAACCGACCTGAAAAGTACGTGGAATTACGTCTATTTGCTAAGTTTTATTGAAATATTCCCTAGTTCGCCACTATACAGGACTTGATACTGGAGATAATAAAAATAGGTTCTCACTACGACACTACTCAAAGTATATAGAGAGAAAAACGCCTTGAATTGGAGAAATAGCAAAATCAACTAAATAATTGCTAAAAGTAATTGCTCCTAAATTAAAGTTAGGCGCTATTTATATAAATGAATCTTCATGCGTGAACAGCCACCCTTTGAGGTGGATGATTTTCTTCAAAATGAAATGGGACCACTATGGAAATACCCCCTTTCCAACAAAAAAAGAATCATGAAAATCGGTTCACAAATACCGGAGCTATCGCGTAACATACATACAAAAAAAATACAAAAAAAAGAACATACTATTAAAAATGGTAGTAAATTAATTTGCTATACCGCGAACCCAATGAAGGTATTTCTTGTATTTATAATATCAAGTGCCGGGACGAACAAGTCGTGCGCCGGATGGTAAGCTACACGCCTGTCCATAACGGTTGCAGTGCCACTCAGAGCTTTAAATCGCAAAGATCTGAAGGGCGCTGCCACTGCGCCTGTCACCCTGAGACATAAGTTGACAATTCTCATTTTTGATAAGTTCACCCTTACCCTTCAAAACCGGAACACAGTAATATTAACATTACTACTTGGCGGCAGAAATAGATAAGGTGGCAGTACAACCCTGGACAAACCCTTTCACAAGGAGCTATCTAATGCTAATAAAATCGTGTTAAATTTTAATGTGCTAAATCGTGTTGAATATTTTTTTAATGCAGCTATTCTCCCTCCGCGTAACATTAATAAAAAAAAAACAAAAAAAAGCGCAACCTTACAAGTACCACCACTCAAAATATACCTGACATGTCTTTTGCCTCTTTACGAGGCATCCTCTTGCTCAGGAGTTATATGAAATCAATAAAGCTATGTAATTAACAATTATACTTACTTGAAACAGCACATATTATTTGATTCACTTTACTGCCTTCTCCAAAAAAGAAATAATACTTCTTCATTTTTATCTACAAAATTATCTTTACTACAAAGTTTTTAAAGTATTTACAGACACTATTAATAATTTTTCTTTTTATAAAGACCACGAATTTAATCTCTGGTACACATTTTAGGTTTTCCTTATTAACAAAATTTAGATCCAAAAAAAGGCAGTTCCATGTTCTATCCTTGCCCATACACTTTCATATACTATCCATATATTTAAAAAAAAAACTAGTGAGTATAGTAAGTAAGTATTACGTAATATCATTTAATACAATTTTTGCATCAAAAGCGTGTGTTCTAAACCATATTTCTTTGTGCACTAATGATGTAATAAAGACGAGTCTGTTTAGTTTATAGATATATGACGTTATGATTGTATGTTGACAAAACTAATATTGACATCACTTTTACGGAGCAGAAGCATTTGTACCGTAGTTTTTATATTGAAACTTGACATAAAAACCTTCAATCTTCTCTTACGACTTTGTTTGAATTAAAATGCACTACCAGTCATCGAAAACGGTAAAAACGTTTTGACGAAATCGAGTAACTAATATCAGCGTGTTTATAACTTTATCCCTTGTAATATTCTTTTATGATTACTAATGGGTAAGTATTTCTTTCTCTTATCATCCTATATATAAAGCGACGTCAGTTTTGGGTTACTATTTTGGCGGCCCTGGTATAGCAGAGGATAGCGACCGTCATTCAAATCCTAAGTCCCAGACGAAACTCTCAAGAAACTACGCCATTTTATTTATATATCCACAGTTTTATCACAGTTTACTTAAGATACATCACACTCATACAAAGTCGAAAACATGTACTCTATAATTAGCCTACTAAATCTGACTAATGACACCAGGCCCTCACTACGCGGAAAAAGAAACCTAAGCACACGCTTAGAGAGGTGAAAATAATGTTGATCGCCGTGTGCAGTCGTGCGGAGTCGAATGCTCTATGAAAGACTAGTACCTAAGACCGCTTGTGCCGACATCGGTACACTCAGCTGTAGGCACTTATTGCGTAACCTTGAGCGAGTGACGGAGCCCTGGTTTTACGCCATGACCCACCGCTATTGTCTGAGATAAACCATGAAGGAATAAATTCATTTTGTAATAAACTTTAACAGATCACAAGCCTGTATTAAGGTAGCGTTAGCTTACAACAATCTCGTATTTAATAACAGCACAGTAACAAAAGTTCAGTCAATTCGCCTTCTTTTATGATATCACATGACTGAATCAGTAAGTCGTGCGCGTGGTAAGCGACACGCCTACCCATTAACGCCTATCCACTCAGAGAACCGCAATGATCTGAGGGACACTGCGCTGCCGTGTCAGACGTATCTCACGTATGTCACGAAACCTAGTTTTGAGAAGAAGTTTTTTTTCCTAATTTGCCTTTATTTTACGAAGATTTTATGGAATTATTGAAAAAAAAAACGTAAAAAGATTGGTTAAAGCGTAAGGAATACGGGGAATGTTTCAGATCTCTGAAGTGTCAATTTTTAAATTTATTATTGATAATATAGTTTCGCGTAACAAACTCCCCATACAAATTAAATCAAGTGACGTTCTGTATCTAAAGATATAGGACTTACGCTCAGCACGTTTAACGCAAAATGATTTGCTTTCTGCATAAATGCATAGAATCTATAGCCAAAAATGCAGCGAGGCGCCTTGACATCCTTTCCAGGATGAGGCGTTATTTCACATCGGGAGAGCCCCGTATCTTCAACATGTGTTTTGATTACAATGACCCTCCCTATCAATCTTTTGGTTATTCAGGAATAACACTACAACCTGTGCATGCACAGGGACCTTATAAGTTCATGTCATGACCCCAGATCAGCCCGTGTACAGGGTTGTCACTGACTTCATACTGTTCTCATGAGGCTAGTGCGTCGAGTGAGCTGCCCCGGTGCACGTACAGTACTCTTCCTATTTCCCAGATAGGTACCGGAGTTGTAGGCACGCTCACTTCACGTTGTGCATTACACAACTAACGGTCGCTACCGCTAAGCCGTTGACTCTAAAGTCCACTACCAAATATCCACTTAGTGGTGGAACTGTTATTCTTTTTTTCGAGATCCTACGCGACTGGAGGGACCGGAGAAATGTCTAGCTCATCCTCTACTAGCTCTCCGGGCTCATGCTGGAGAAGTCGACCGCAGTGTCTTGTGACAATGTCCGGACATTGCTTTCAACTATACGGGCAACTCACTTCGCCTTAGAACCTCGTCTAGACCATAGATATAATATGTATGGTCTAGACCGCTACTAAGATGCGCTAGCGGCGCACAAGGTAGACGCTGTAGTCACACGTCACCGAGGCAGACGAACATGTTCGTCTCTGCAGCTACCACAAGCCCCGGCGGGTCCAGTGTTCGGGTCAGCCAGTGACGCCCGTGAAGGCGTATCACTGGCGGAGGACTTGGCCCGGACGCCCGTCGTAGTCTGGTCTTACCGAGGAGCCCGTAATCTCCCCGTAACCCCTTATCTCTCGGGTCAGTAGATAGGGAAAACACACAACGGACTAGCCCCATGTCTTTCTACATTACTTTTTTTTTATAGTGACCCTCTCTACCGATCCTTAAGGTATACGCGAAATGTACTATAACGTAGTGTAAAGGATTGTCATAGGTTGTCACTGACTTCATTCGGTTCCCAAAAGGTTAGCGCCTCAGGTGAGCACACACCGCGACAGTTGCTTTAGCTGTACCAAGGACAAGTTCGGTCGTGTATTGAATACGGCTGCCACCTGTGAGATAGTTCTGCTATATACCAACTGGCCTCCTTGGATTTAGTTGAAAAGTATGTCAAGAGGCTTACCTATGTGTGACTGTGAAGAGGCTTGTAGGTGACTCGGTTTAGTAGATGACAAGCTTCAGACTCTTGACTATCACGATATAATGATATATCACGAAGGGAATATAATGGAATGCCCTAATTAAATCCGCCTTTATTTTTCCATCATCAAGGAACTAGACGTAGGCTGGAGTTCCACCCCTATATAGTTAGCGAAGCGCTACGCTTTCATGTTTTTATGGCAAGCTAAGTTAAATTAAATTAAGTAAAATTTTCTCCGTGCAGACTTATTCCCCGAACGCTATAACTAGAACCTTTTCAAGGTCTTCATGCTTCATCAACGACCCCATTATTATTTTTCATCAAGTGTGATGGAGGTCTTCCAAATCTTCATGTAAACTCGTCACGGCTAACTCATGTAACTTTAGTCAACTGAGATATATTTTGACCGTCGTGTGGTGAAACTTTTCGCGCTCATATATTGTGACATGAGTTGTGTGACAGCCAATTTCAACGAACTGGTGGACAATATTCAAATAAATGTTTGATGGGTGGATGCAGTAGATAGAAAAAATACGATTCAGAGTTGTTACCCGTAACTCATGTATCTTAAGTTAACGGATATACGCCTGACACGGCAGTGCGCCTCACTCTGTGACATAAAGTTGAAAAATCCCTTGTACCTGTTTCACCAACTCCCTTCAAAACTTTTGCTCACATTACTGATGTTGGTAGCTATATGTAGGTACTCGTATGGTGTCAGTACTTCCCTGGGCAACTCTTTCACAAGGAGTTCTGTTGCTGCTAAAATTAACAGTGTTAAAGTTGTATAGTGACAAATAATTTATTATATGCAAAGAATAATAATAGAACGTAAACTGATAAACGATGTGGTTTTTAAATGGCGGTGTCGAGTGCCGAAGGCGTATGTTAAAATAATGACAATGATGTCCCACATTTCCCAGTCTTCGATTGGCATAACTCATGTGCAGGAAGTAAGAGAGCATGGAATGATTATATAGATTTTAAGACTTTCGTGGTTATTCACTAAATGATTATCACTAATATCAGGTTTTTTACCACGGTATGACTTCTTTTTATTTTCCCGATATTTCGGAACGGTTGCATGCTCCATGGTCACGGGTTGACTGGACGGCGGCAGATGACAGCTTTAAGAGCAGACAGATCTGTCTACCTTCTTGCGCTGTCGACAACTACCTTCATCGCGATTTGTTATGGCATTACCATTGTTACTCACTTTTTTCACACAAACCACACTCACTGTATCCACACGCGAAACTGAACTCGAGTTGAGTTGTGTGCCATGGAGCGTGCAACCGTTCCGAAATATCGGGAAAATAAAAAGAAGTCATACCGTGTTAAGAAACCTGTTATTAGTGATAATCATTCATAGAATGATTACCTATAAAAGCGGCTTCACACGGCCATGGTTTCTTGAAAACGCGCTGTGGTAAAAGGGCTGCCCGAGCGCGCCCGCGCTCGCCTGTGGCGGCCTGTTCGGATTCGCCGGTAGTCGGTAACATAAAAGGCGACGTGAGAGCGGGCGGTCTGTGCAAAAGCACGCGAGTCGGCCCGAGGCCGCCCGGATTCGCCTGTTTCGTGAGCTCGACCATCTAAATCGACGCGATTGACATCACGGGCCATGGGAATGTACCATTAAATAGTTTAGGTTTATCAGGCAACGTCTGATCAATTCTGTGCAAACATTGAAACAGTTAGAGGTCGTTTATGCGCTCCAAAGTGATTTCATTCGGGCATGACCCTCAGTGATGAGGCACCTTCTATACAGAGAACAGGTGCAATGGACTGAGTTTAGCAAATAAGTTTGCCAGGCACAGGCTACTTTTTAATTATTAGACAAAGCGTTTTGCTTATAACACCACTTAATGCCGAAAACTATCATGTGAAAATTATGAAATTCGTTAGCTACTGCTGAATAAGCGTCCTCGCATATAAGATCTTCTACTCTAAAAAAAACAGACTTGCGCAATTCAATGTAGACAATTTCGTATAGAAAGAATAACAAAAATAAGAACGATTGAAAAATAAAAATCTCTATCCTCAAATTCATTACAAATTTTTTAATAATAAAGACATTATTATAAATAATTTCTATTATACCACTAGGCTGCATAAAAGGCTTGTGGTAATCTGGAGCTTGTTGAGTTAGTTCTTTAATTTGTTATTAGGTGGCGCTGATTCTGATTTTGTAATTATGTATTTTTTATGTGTTTACTCCTATAATTGTAGTTTATTTATTTTTTTATAAATCCAGATATTTCGGTGCATAAACTTTAGAATATCTGTATCAGCCCATGTACGATACAATGGTGAAAGATTAAAATAAGTGGACTATTATAACAGAGTTCATTATACGCTGGATGGTGGAGTCATATAATTTTGCTTTATGGTTTTGATAAGATTATTTATTATATCTTAATGAAAACTTTTCTATCAGACTAGTTTCTCGTGATTTGACTTAAAAACAGTATGAAATTATTTCAGCGTCTATGATATTTATGAAAACGGTACGAGCCCTGCAAGGAGAAAGTTTTAAACGAAACCGTCATCGTGACAAATGTACATAGACACGGGTTCACACTATTATCACAGCTTGTAAAATAAGAATCTGATTATTGTACTGTGATGTCGTCAAATCAATTAAGGATAGGAGAGAGCGGGACTGAAAGTGCCGGGGGTAAGTTGTGCCGATGCAAATATTTAAAAAACGGAAAGAGATAGCTATATATTCGTATTTCATCTTCAAATGTCGAGCTATCTGGCGGTCTAGCGCATACACGGCGGCCACGTGAGTAAATATTTTTTGGTCTCAAGTTAGCATTTCTGGTGCTACGGATATGGGAGTTATACTAATACATTTGTAATTTGTCCAATAATGTTAACTTATGCAATTTTAACGCCATAAGCAGATTGTTTTTTTTGTCATATGATAAAATGTTAACGCCGTCTAAACGGGGTAAAAAGTGCCTTTCATCAGGGGTCAATTGTACCGCGGCACAACCAACCCCCACGAACCTTTATTAACCTTTATTATTTTGTTTGATAAATGAGAAAATACAGGCCAAAAGGGGGAGAACTACTTCCCAGGACCTGTTATAAGGAGCTGCTGACACGGTCATTGAAGATGGATGCACATTAAAAACCGTTTCGCGTGAATTGAAGATTTGTCACACAACGCTGCAACGGTATGTCAAGAAAATAATGAGTGGACTTACTCCGTCGGTTGAATGTAAACCAACTGGTATTTAATTATAAACAAAAGACGTCATATGTCCGAAAAAGCTCTACTATCTACTTCGGTTTTCTAACAGAAGAAGTTAGACAACTTGCATACCAGTGTGCGATGAAATTTGGTGTCGATAACATTCCACAGTTGAAATCGGCTTGATTTGAAGAAGTTTGATGTGGTCTATAAAGGCTAATTATTAATGACTCTGTTTAATAGATCTCATTTACATTAAAATTAAGTACAAATTATTAATATAGAACATACTTTGTGTTTGCCACACCACAAAGAATTCTCTTTCTTTGCTTATGTTTAGTTAAAAATTGCCTAACCATAAAAAAATGTTGATTTTTTATTTTTTTTCAAAGTTATCAAATTGTACAGTTTCTTACTTCGAAATCCATTTTAATCCATGTTACAGGCCAAATAAGATGAACGGCGCAACCGACCTCAGCTACGGCACAACTTGCCCCAGAAGAGAGGGGTCAGTAGCGCCTTACCACCGCTGTTCATAAAATTAATTATCTATAGAAGCTATTCAAAATGCACAAAAACTTCATATACATTTAAAATATAGATGAAATTAGACATAAGATCGATAAAACAAAGTAATCGTAGCATTGGTTACAACCGATTTATTTAAGGATTTGTTAAAATCGGCACTTTCAGCCCCGTTCTCCCCTAGGCCAAGGTTGGACCAAGGACATTTATGCATTGTCACCATATTTTAGCAGTTATATATTACTTTTATACTTACTTAAATAGAGGCAGAACAGCCAAGTTGGCCTTAGCCCATTTTATGGTTTGTAAAAAGTTTTTAGTTAAAGAAATACACGGACTTGTATATTGAACTCTTAGAGGATGGAAAAAAAAAAAAAGAAAGGAGCTGCCCTAACTACGGAATGAACGTGCATACTTAAACAAAAATTGGACGAACAAATGGCGGATTTCTTCAGTGTCGTACCATAATCTATCGATAAGTCATTATCTATATGCAAACATTTAATTAAAGTAGATCAATATTCCATTTGGGCGTATTTTAGGGTTATTATGAGAATATCCGGGAATGTCACATGAAAATTTGAATTTATTGTTTTGCGTTTACAAATACTCAAATATTACGAATGAATTTGCACAGATAAAAATAATATTTGTGATTTTGAGAGTATATAAAAAAGAGAAAACTTTAAAATATAAATCCTATACATTTACAACCTCAAGATTCTTATTTTCATAGAGAAATTTTTAAACAGATTCCAAATAGTGTAAGCTTTTTTTGTATTTATGCATTGGTAAGAATTAATATCAGTGATTGATTAAAGTGAATCTTTAATACTTCCATTTAATTTTGGAAATAAATGTAAGTAGTAATATTACCAATAATAATATTATTATCATACGTTTATTTGCTTAAAACATGATATAATAGGAGATGTGGCAAGAGACAGTGTTAGTATAAACATGTTTCGCATATATTAAATAGCATACAAATGTCTGATTATACAATGTCAATTGCCTACTGTTGGCCGAGCGCCTTTGATTTGTGCAGAAAATCGACACTTCTCTGAAGTGAGACAAGTAGTCACGACCGACAGCGAGTTGTGACAAGCCACGTCAAACGAGCTTTATACATGTTAGCGCTCGCCTTCACTCGGTCAGCTAGGCGAGTGACACCGAACGATGGCAAGGCTTGTCTTGCCATCGTTGGTATTGGCCTTCACCCGGCAACATTAGACCAACATGGTATTTGTATTGCTGGCTTTATAAAATAAGAATTTTTAGTAGTTAGAGTTGTCAGTGGGAAAAAATCGGAAACGAGTGGATAATTTTGTCATCAGGAACTGAGAATGCCTAGTAAATGAGTCGTGTTTAATCTACATTAAGTATAACATTATTTGCCAATAAACCTAATGATGGAATTGCATAATCATATAATCTAGTAATATTCAAAGTTATGTTAAAATTTGACTTCAAAATGAAGCGAATAAATGAAGATGGTCGTTGATTAAATGTATGATATCCAACCATTTTATTTTCTTTTTTGATTTGTAGGTAAACTTGAAATAGTAAAAATAATAATAATAAAATAATAAAAAACTCATAGTGAATTATTTTAATAACAGAATATCGATAATATGTACGCTTCCAAGAACAACACTATCTCGACATAATCATTAACAACAATCATCAAAATATACAAACAAACAGGCAATCGGAAGAAAACTTTATGACATATTTATGTAGTTTACAACATAAATATGTCTAATTACACGAAATATTTGGGCTTTTGTGTGATTTATAGACAGAAAAATAACACGTGCCTGTACAATGTTACATTCGGTCGATCTTGGCTTTTTCAAATGCCACATCTTGTAATGCTGCAGCGACATATTTTTATTAATACTTAATTGTTCTCACTGTCAATATTTTTGTCCATTTTATTACAATACATACGAATAATTCAATAAAAGACTTGGAAAAATATTTGTTTTGATATTTGATGTACTTCCCTTTGACAACCGTATCATGTACCTCATGTACTGCGAAATGGACACGGTTAGCATTTAAGATGACGTAACGTATTTTCGATTCCTGTGTTTGACACAGACCAACGTAATGCTATCTCTTTTGGCTTAAGACGGCACGCAAGAGTTAAACAAAGACAATAACATGTTTATGTTTTCAATATCGAATTGCATCATGTACATATAACGTCTGATTTATATAAGTCAACAAAACATGTCCTTTAGTTTCCATAGTCTAAGATTTAACTAGACCGCGCACTCAGTTAATAAAACGAGCCGATTGAGAGGCTTAAATGTAGTAATGTGTCTCTTTCTAATAGGATGTTCTTCATGTTTCAGCCAGCCACATTGCTTTTAACTTTTTATTTTTACAGAAAATGTGGCCGCTTATGGATGACCAAAACTAATAATATTATTTCATAATACGAATTAGTACCCTTATTTGATACGCTACTTCATAATAGAAGGTTTGATTATTGACATATTTATTTTCGTATTATTACAGTAAAAGCATACCTTTAAGCTAATTTACACTAGACACTACCTAAGATGACTTTATTTAGCGTTGACAACTTGTTAGACAAGCACAGACCACTGCTTCGAGCTATCTCACGTGACTCGATTTTTTACTTTGACTTAAAATAAACCCAAACCCAATAAGGTGTAAGTTTGTAATATTGGTATATCGAAGTGCGCAATCCAGTTTATGAAATATATAAATCCGTGAAGAAATATGCGTACTTTTTTTCCATCCTCAAAGTAATTGGCTTATAGTATTGTAAATGTCATTTTACTGTTTATATGGCTGTATGGTTGTAAACCTTAGCCTTCTCCTTTATGG